ACGCGAAGATCAAGCCAGTGAGATGTTGTGTTACCACCTGTAAGAAATCGCGCCCTTAACTCAGTTGTCAGTGCTCCCTTCCCGTTGTGAAACTATGGGCACGGCCCGCTAAATACCCTTCAAGGGTTGACTCCTGTAAGAAAGACCAACTGGGATTATTTACTGCAATTACGGTTAGTTAGAAGCTGGTAACGTATTCTGAGTGTATTTCACTGATAGCACTTTTCAACAGGTATTAAGTTGTGGTCAGGTAGGAATAAGTTATGAATATAATGTACCACCTTCTTCTTCTGTATGTTTTCGCAAGCTACTGTGTGTTGTTAACATCTATACCTTACATGAGGGACATTATTTTATCAAATTACGTAAACATGCCTAATGCAAGCTTTAAAAGCTGATAAGCCCATTCTCCAATAGACAAACAAGGGGACCTTGCCACACTTCTTTGTGACCCGGTGCCCATATCATTATAAACCACGGCTCAAATGGGCTAAGTGCGCAAACGTGTGCATGGTACAATGCAAAGGAGAATGGTTCGGAACGTCCGCTGCATCCGCCAGCTATCAGCTGGCGCCCCTGCCTCGCCTTATCCCATTTCACGCTTTCGTCGAGCTGCTCAACTGGAACGGGAGATGGAGTATGGGTGCGTTATAATGTCCAATTTTCAGTCATTTTCAGGTGCGGTGTGGTGCGGTTTATAGTGAGGTGTGGTGTAATTCACACTGCTTAAAGGGGCAGACAGTAGTTTGCAGACATCAGAAATGGTAGTATACGAAACGTCCGTTAGGTGGCGTGCTCGTATTAAGATCCAGCGTCCAGTTCGAATTCCGCCTAAAATGCCTACATAAATCACACAGCACCCACTGTTTATAAAAATGCGGCCATTTTGCTCCATCTCGAAACGGTTGGAGATCAGTAAACAAAGGCAACCAGTTTAGGTAGCACATGAAAACCATTTGCGAAAGAGATTATCCATATGAAAGGATATTCCAAAGTACTCTAAAAAGGTTATCTTACAAGGTTGCATCCCACGTTAAAGGTCAGGTTAGCGCCCCACTGCTGCCGTATTGGACTGATGTTGATAAATATAGTGTCATCTGAAAGCCATTTATATATTTGAGCCTGGCCTTTCAAAAACGCATAAATCCAGGTCGACCTCCAAGATCAAATCATAAGTCTAAAGACGGAGTAGCGCCGTACTGCCACTGCATAAGACTGATCTGTGCAAATCAGGTGTCATTAGAGGGCCCAGCGTCCATTCCAGCATAAGCTGTAATGATCTCACTGTTTAATGTCCACTGCTTTGGTCAAGAAGCCCGAAACGTAACAACGAATGTCAAAGCATAGCATAGCACTACACTGACGTTGTACGCGACTGAAACTGATCAACAGGACATCATTTGAGAGTCAGGAATACATTCCAGCCTGGGCTCTCAAAAATGCATTAATCAAGAGTGGCCCACAAGGTGACACCCGAGTCCGAAGGACGGGGAAGTGCACAACTGTTGCTGTATGGGACAGATTTATTCAGGTAAGGTGACATTTGAAAGAAAGGCATCCATTCCAGCCTGGGCTCGTAAAAACAAGCGAGTGAAGTTCAATCTTCAAAAGTCCTATTCATGGTGAAAGGATATTTTGAGCTTTTTCACCATGGCGGTAAAGGGTGGTGTTTTGGCAGACCAGGTTAGAAAGAACACTGGGCTTTATAATGACACCTGATCTGTACAGATCGGCCCCACAGCGTCAGTATGGAGCTACCCCATTCTTTGGCTTTGAATGTTATCATAAATATTGAACCTGATTGACTAGTGTTTAGAGACCAGGCTGCAACGCATGCCTGGCTTTCAGATTATGCATTATTTAAAACATAATACCCATACAGAGTCATGATATTTAGCAAGATCATGACTTAAAGTCACGCTCGGACTCGCAAATAGGCCGCCCTATTGGGCTTTGCAACCTGATTAAAACTGCAGCTTAACCCCTTTGTGCATGTTAAAGATATTACATTTGTTTTCCAAAAGTTCTATACAAGTGCTAGAAGTTTGCTGGTAATGGCTGGTTTTTGACCACGACGTACTGAAGTGGTGGAATAAGGGTCTTCACTACAAGCCACGCTCAGCAAAAACTGACCCCAAAGCATCCCTGCAAGACACTAAACCAAAGTTTCCTTGAAAGCAAAATGATGAGGTTAGCCGGCTCAGCTTCGAGGAAAAAACAATATTTGGCCTGATTGACTTGAGACAAATTGTTTTGCATATTGATTCAGAAAGTGCTTTGCAAAACTACAGTCATGTTACCAACGACAGAGTTGGCGACTGCAAAACACGCACCACATTCTTTCCCGCACTCAAACGCTGACAGACCTGTGATCGGTGCGCCGACCAGGCAGCCACCGGAGGCCGCCGCCTGCACGAACGCCCAGGCGCGCGCGAAGTTGCGAGCTCGCACGCGCTCCAGCGTGTAGGCCTTGATGGTGTACCGGTACCCGCCGAGCGCGACGCCGTACGCCCCGACAAACAGCGCGTACCCGGGGTACCCGCGCACCGCCGGCAGCGTCATCAGGCACAGACCTGAGGACGGCCAGCGACGGCGTGAAGGGACACGCACGTGTGGCGGGCGGACAGGGCCGGCGGGCAGAGGTCTGGAGCCGGGCAGAGCCCCCAGATAGAGACTTGTAGCTGGACAGACAGAGTCCTCAGACAGGGGCCTGGAGCTGGAAGGGGCCTTCAGACAGAGGCCTGGAGCCGGTCAGACAGAGCCCTAAGACAGAGACCTGGAGCTGGACAGACGGAGTCCTCAGACAGAGGCCTGGAGCTGGAAAAGGCCTTCAGACAGAGGCCTGGAGCCGGGCAGAACCGCCAGACAGAGACCTGGAGCCGGACAGGCAGCGCCCTCAGGCCGAGACATGAAGCAGGATAGGTCCTGTGGGCGAACAAACATGGGACAAGACAGATAACATCAGCAGGCATGAAACTGGAACAAGGCAAACGGGAAGACATCAATGCCGTCGTCTTCAACGGCCGCTACCCCGCCTTCGCACGGCACAGCTGTGGGGCTGACGCTTGGCTCGGTGCACACCTGTGGCCGTGAGTGTCGCCTGACAAAGCCGCTGCCGCGAGAGCCAGCACTGCGAGCTGGGCCGCAGCACCAGCAACGCGCAGCAGCCGCCGCCGGCCGCCAGCGCCAGGCCCAGCAGCATTGGCAGCAGGATCAGCGAGGTCTCCGACAGGCCTTCCCGCTGGCATTCCGCCATCTGCCGCAGCGGAGAGGTCGTCAGGATGGGCTCTTTCCCTGGCGCACAGCGGAGATCGTCAGACTGCACGTGCTACATGCTCACCAAAGCACATACAAATTCATAGCAGCGATTTTTCAGATATTACTTTGCAAACCAAACCAGACCACACAAACCATGTCAGGTGTGAAACGAAAGTAGAAAATAACTGCGCTCGAACTGTGCAAAATGTGGTTTCACATATATATTATGTGTATATGTAGAGGTACATTTTGTCCTTCGCATATTGTGAACAAATATTTGGAGTTAAGTTAGCCGCCGCCCCATTGAACCCAAATTATTGTTTTTGAATATATATATATATATATATATATATATATATATATATTATACTAAAGGAACAAGGTGTTTGTGTGTGTCCGTTGGGTCACCTTCAGGCCTAGCGATAAGAAATTTTTCGACGAAATTTGCACACGACCGAGATCCGCCGGCTGCGCTTTTCTGAGTCGCGTCAAAATTTCACATTTCGCGAAAATGAGCGCGTGCCGAAAAAGTGCAAAAGTTCCGCAGGGTTAACGCGGGCGACGCCAGTTTCAAAAAGACGACCGGCCGACGGACCGACACGCATCGCTTCCCGGAGCCGCATCTCGGTAACCAAGGGTCGCAGTGACATGAAACTTCACAATGCGATAGAGCTCGGAATGGGCCATCGCAATCGAGTGCGTTTTTGGCGCTACGTCACATGTGGCACGTGTACACGTGTTGAGAAGATGAAATTGGCCGTTGTTAATGCGCTTTTACGCTTACCGTTATATCTCGGCGTGCAAAGCAGGTAGAGGCCTGGATTTTGGTTTCCAACATTCACAATTGAAGCGGCTACATTTTCAGTGCGCATTGTGACCTTCTGCAGCGTACTGTTGCGCTGCAGATTGCCCTGTTGCAAATTGTAATACAATTTGTTGTAATACAATTTGTTTGTTGTAATACAATTTGTTGCAAATTGTAATACAATTTGCAACAGGCCGAGTTTCAAGACCGGCGCAAAATACAAGCCGCTAACGTCAAAACGATGCGTGGTCTAGCGTTGAAAACTATATCAGCGCGTCGGCCGATTCGTCCGGTCTCTGGCGCACCCTTTTGTTGACCGCATTTTTAAAAATGTCGCTCGCAAATGAGCTTAGACTAAGGGTTGCATGACGGCTTTTTCGCGGCGACCGCGGCAAGTTGCTACCCCGGCTCCCGGCGTACGCCTGGGACGTTAAGGGTTAAAATGGTCGTTCGCACGGCGAGCTTTCGACTTTGCTCACATCGTTTGCCTTCTTATTAAAGAGCGAGCATTCTGAGTTCCCTTCAGGCTGTCCTGGTGCAAGGCTCTAAAACTCTTAAAAGTCCTGGTGTAGGCCGGCGGGAGGGTAGTCTATAGGCACGATCTCGGCTCAGGCATGGTGATCGGCGGCGCGCTGTGTGTGACGGTCGCCGTGCGCGCATAGGCGTGGATTTTGTTTCCCAAAGTTCACCATTGATCCGAATACACTCTCAGTCGCATCGCGAGTTTGTGCAACGCACCGTTGCGCCGCAAATTGCACAACTTGCAAGATGCCAAGCTTTAATAATATAAATGGCAGGGTCACACGTATCACGCGGAACGGGATCACAGATGGATTTTGCTCCCTTCCACTGATTTGAATCTTTTGTGCCACATTTCAGTACCTATGGAACTAACACACCCGGGATTGGCGCGCTTTAATGATGAATAGAAGGAACGAGATAATAATGTTTGGTGACACGTGTCATGGCGCCCATGTGATGAAGTATGGATTTACGCGATTTTGCTCTTTTGACGGGCTTGCACGTTTCCGTGACGTCTCAGAAACCAGGGAATACAGTACACAGCGACTGGCATGCTTCGATAAGTGATCTAACGGGCAATCACTGAAACGTGTACGATGTCATGCTGCACGTGTCATGTGACACGTGCACATTAGCTGTGAAGCTGTCTTTTGTCGATTTCGTTCATGTTTACGCTTTACGCGGGATTTCCGCTCTTATGGCACGTAGTGATACGAGACTGGCATGCTGCGATAGGCTACTGAACGGGATATCCCATGGTCACATGTGTCAAAACTGCGGGGTGGCACGTTACACGTGTCGGGCACACGCGAGCCGGGAAATGGTTTTTGCTCTTTTCTACGGGCATACACGCTTTGTACCACATCTCGGCACCCAGGGCACGAAGGTACTTGGGAGTGGCATGCATTTATAAGAAATCGAACAGATAATGACGTTGCATGAATTGTCACGTCGCACGTGCTGTATGGATTAATGGGGAATCGAAGCGACAATCACGTGGTATAGATTGTAGCGCCACGTATGCGCGAGCCAGGAAAATTGATTTGGCCGCTACTGACCGTTGTTCACTGATGGATACAATACAATGTCGTTGGATGCAACAGTAGTGCGTGCTGCCGTCATTCAAGGGCGGACAGTGGATGGAAGTGGCAAAAATCACCCGTCACGTCCCACTGATCAATCACCGGTCCCATGGAATAGGTTCAGCTGTGTTGCAGAGAGGTCATGCCGAATGCGCTCTCTCCTGCCAGCGGCCGCCAAAGACCGCCAACACCGCGCGCGGCCCGCGTCCGGGTCTTTTTCACACTTCGCGCGATATCTCGGCGACCAGGGCACCTAGAAACACGATTCCAACTGCAAGAGATACATAATGAAAATTTATAATTTTTGCCTTTTTACTTAGCGTAGTGAAGCAAGCGCGAGTGCTTGTCAAATACTATTCCTGTCTGGTAGCAAAATATTGATCCTGCAATGTTGGCTGCCGCCAATTCTTTTTAATGGAAACATGTTCTTATAATAATGGAAGCCAAATTAGCTCGGTTGCTATTTGCGCAATCTTTAGCATTTTCAGAATTCAGAATGGCGATCGCCGCCATCTTGAATGCTATCCATCTCTCTTATCTTGATCCGGATATATATATATATATATATATATATATATATATATATATATATATGATATTTATGCCTATTTATTTGAATTATCATCAGCGCCGGGTCCATTTCTGGACTTATTTTTGGGCTACGAGGCTAATTCAACGTCAAATCAGACGCCAAATGCCAGTTTCAGAGAATGCTTTAAACGTACAGTGTCACCACATGTTAACGAGACCTTGAGCGCAGTACTACCAGCCGGCACCCGTCACACTCCTCCACGACCTTTCATAGTGATCATAACTATGCACACCTAGCTCCCCCTCGTTATTTTCGATGTTGATCTGCCTGCTGGTGCCATGGCCACAGCATGCCATTTCTCCTTAACACTTACAGCAGTCTGTACACCAAAGGCCTGCACTGTGGTTGTTCAGGCTGCAGAGTGCTATGCTGCATACCAAGCTTCCAACAGTGCAGCCACAGGCTACTGCATCCAGAAGCGCTTCGAAAGTAACTGCTGCTGCTGGGAGGGGCGGTATGAAGTTGGAGACTTCGACGATCCAACCCAAGTTAACAATATCTCTACCTTCTCTTCCTGTGGGGAGTGGGGGGGGGGGGAGGGACGCTTCCAGGGGTGGAGCGGGAGTGTAGTTGGCCAGTCAAGCCTCCAAACTTTAGGTCAGACCTTCTGCAGTCCCAGGCACGTACCAGACGATCCGCTACGGCAGCTGACCAAGGTCCATCAACAGAAGCGCCTGTTGATGGACCTTACTTGTTGATGGTCACCAATCTGCTGGTGACCTGATCTGAGTGTCACCAGGCGTGCGCATCCGCCAATAGCTGCTCCCTGGCATGCAAGAAAAGATGTTTCATCTGTCTCACATGTCAGCTCAGTCAGCGAGCATGATTGTGGTGACTTGCCACCAAGAGATACGGCAGCATTGCCTTGAGACGGCGCTGCTGAAGGAGGCAGTCGTCGTTCCACCCTCCGCGCAGGAGCATGAGCGCTGTAGAGTATGGGGGTAGGAACAGGGGGGCCAGGTGGGCCATGGGCCCCATCCACTTTTCAAGGTGGAGGGGGGGCCGCAGTGTTTGCTGCCCCCCCCCCCACATTTTTCAGATTAATATCGTTTTTAGCTTACTTTTGCACCGCATTTAGGTATGCATGCCGATTTAACCAACTCACCAGCCATCTTACTCAAGATGCGTCATCTTTTTCTTTCGCTTATTGGCCATCGCCTAGTGCCACAGCAAGCAGACGCCACGTGGCATATGGAGACTGCAACAACGGGTGTTCAGGCTGTTGTTGTCATAACTTGCGA